CTATCTTACTTGATCAATGACAAACAAGAATGCAACATTACAATAAAAAGATTAAAAGAAAAAGAGATTAAAATGTAACTAATATGAATAAACTTAATTTATAACATCAGTCTCGTCATAGAGTAGGATGGGGCAATTTCGTCAGTTTCAACTTTAAAGTAATCCGAAAATTTATGATAGTAAATCGTCACTTTGTAATGATATGCTTATAATTACATTATTGTTACAATGATTGTTTTTTGAGACACAAATACCTTTAAATAATCAATATGTGCTGTTCAGAAACATAAATTATTGCAAAAAAGATGAAAAAGCTCTTTATCCTACAGATATAAGACCAAAATAATAAAATTTATTGTCTATTAAAAATAAAAATAATAATTAATAATAATAAAAAAATTAATTTTTAATAAACCTTCAAGAATGCTAATAAATATTATCAATTTAATATTAAAAATTAATATAGATACGCTGATAATTTGACATTCCATTTTCACATTCTATTTTTATAGTTAAAATTCACACCTGATGAGTCTTAAGTGATACACTACGCTGTTGTTCAAAGCTCGGTTGAAATTTTTGCACAAAATTAATTTGACTAAACGGCATCTAAAATTCTCTAATTGACCGCATATGTGAAAGATCACGAGCCCAAGAAAAGCATCTACTGATGTATAAATTATACCTGCTAGAGAAATTGTTACAGCTTGAACAAGAAATGTCAACTCAAATTGCGGACTCTTATCTGTATCGTAGAAATAATACGTCTGCAGTGGTAGCGGTTTTTTCCGATCAGTAAGATTTGTTATGTGCCTTATTTGTATATCAAAGCAAGGAAAAATAATTAACATGATAAATGCAAATGTCATTAAAACAAATCCAAAAATTATGAGTAATCGAGCCGATCGCGCTCGTTTTATCATTACATCTCTTTCCGTGTTTAATTTTAATGATATCCAATCTTCCGCCATCATATTGACAATGGATAAAAGAACTTGGAAATATATAAAAAAAGACATTAAAAATATATAAGATTATCAAATTATTTATAATTAATTATAACTGTTTTTTAACTATCAAATTATTGAACCAAACACATTTAGTTCAAAACTCTGGAAGTTAACAAATAAATACAGCTAATCTTCTGAAATAAAAAAGTATCAAGAATTTAATATTTCGGATAAGAAAAAAAAGAAAAAAGAAAGGAGGAACGACGGGAGAAGAAATAATCACATGTAATATCTTATTTCTTTAACGTTATAATCTGTTATGTTTTATATAAATTATAATAATAATTTAATATAAAAATGAAATAGATGAGATTCAGTTAAATAGTTTATATCAAATTATATTATAACACATACCTTTTCGTTTCCATCGCATAATAATAAATTTCAATAAAACCACTATAAGAGGTAATGTAATTCGTAAATTATCTATCATAAGTACCATATCGCCCCAAACTCGTATAAGCGCCCATACAAGTGGCACACCAGAAATGAATATTACAGTAATGAAAATGAAACCCACGCAAATGTTAGATCCCAATTTTTTCTTAGAAATTTCGTCGGTTGAAGGCCACAAACCGATCAATTTCAAGCCTAAACGATGTAATTCAACTGCCCATACGAAATCTAAATTTTTATACAAAATAAAAGATTTAGATAAAATAATTGTAAATTAATATTGTACATAAATTATTAAAAGACTAATTGTAACATAAGAGAGATAACAATAATGCGATGATAAAGATTTATACTATATAAAATATAAAATTATATAAAAATATAAAATTATAATTGAATATATAGAACGCGTTATAAAAACGGAATATATACTTACATGTAATATAGAATCATACCTTTATAACCTGAAGAGCTTGTAATGTTCATGTTGAAGACTAACTTGAAAAAGATCGTCCTGATCTTTCCACTATGCAATGTAAAACGATTATTGCGCATGCTTTCTATATAAGAGCAAGACACCGGCTCCCTCGTTAAACGCTGTATTAAATATTAAAAATGCTATCCCCAATTGATTACAGTTGTTGGTAAGGCAAAAAACTTTATAAGCGTACAACAGGTCATAAAAATTGTTTATGTCTGGCAAGAGACAGAAAAAGTTTTGACAAAAGAAGAAAAATATTGTTTCGCATATTGCATGGTATAAGTTTGTTGGAGATGGTTAATTTTGTCTATAAATCGATTGCCTACAGCTCAAATGCCTACTACAAGCATTTTTGCGCAAAAATAAAAATTTTAGAAACGGAATTACTTTTGCTTACATGTATTATTGTCTACATGTATTATTGTTTACAAGTATTATTGCCTATAGCTTTATTGCCTACATGCACTTTTGCGCACTTATCTTATTATCTTATTTTCATTTTTACGTAAAAATGAATTCTTAGTGCAAAAATGAAAATAACAGATACAATCTCAAATGGCTTCGATCTTAACAAATGTTATCCAGCACAACATTGATCCTGAATATCAAGAGGTTTTAGCCATCAGTTGGACACCTTGGATAATGCTAATGCCGATAATACTGTAACTTTCAAGCATTATAACTCGAAAAGTATTCAATAAAACATAATTTTATTATAATGTTTTTGAAAACTCTCGACATCGGTTATTAGATTTTGGAATCAAAAACAACGTGTCATTTTAAAAAATGAATGTGACCTTGACCTGACCTTGGCGTCATCTAAATAGATTTTTTTTAACTCTATAACTTTTGTCTGAAACACTTTTTCATAAAATTTATATTTTCTGACATATTCAGGTTCCGACATTTTTAAGTCATCCTGTATAAACATATATACATATATGTATGTATGTATGTATGTATGTATGTATGTATGTATGTATGTGTGTGTGTGTGTGTGTGTATGTGTGTGTATATATATAT